CTACACCGTGTTTGTAGCAATCTCCAAGACCATATTAAACTGGGTGGGGAAAAAGATTAAAATTTTGGGAGTGCGTGTCACACTTATAAAAAATAAAACAATAAGTTTGAATCTTTCACCTAATACTCATGAAAGTATATGTAAGGCTTTGTCAGAAACAGGTTTTCAATATACATTAACGATTTTAACTGGGATTGATGAATTAGCAAATTCTTGTTTAGTCTGGAAAAGTAATAACAAAGAACTTGTTGCTAATGGTAGTGGTTGTCTTTCAAGTCGACTTAGTGGCTGTTTCATTACATTCTGTCTGCAACAATCTACCGATAGAGTTCAAGTTATCGAAGATGGTCTTATTTTGTTTTTAACGGATAATACATTCCACCTTATTCATCAAGCCCTTATCTCTCGTAATTCACTTAACATAAAACCGAATGAAGACACACACATTGTGTTGGAATGGGACAAAGAAAAGAATAATGACTATGAAAGCAATATCATTTCAAAGAAAACTGGCCATGAAAGTAATGACGATAATTATATCGCACATCTTATTGAAATTGAATTACTTACTAATATGAACGAGGATCGAATCAGTTTAAATTCACATGTTAATTACATAATAGAGATACATAATGTAGTCCTAAAGCACTTCTCTTTAATGAATAAAAATAGTGGATTTAATCTGTCGATATGCTTTATAATAGAAGATAGCAAATTCGCACATATAAAATTGCAAACAAAGCCACTAGATTATGATGATTCAAAAGTATTATCTAATAAACTTTGGCATAACTTGACATTAGTAAATTTGCCAATAATTTATAGTGGACCGGTTAGTTTTAATATGCATTATGCTGTGTGGGGTGGAACACCTGAATCAAAGTGGCCCGAGGAAGAAGAAAGAAATTCTTCTATCAGCATAATTAATACACATCATAATGATAATACAACACAAGATATTTTTAAAAATATTTCAGGAGAATTATGCGAACTATATAGTAAAGAGAGAAAAAAAGGAAAGGACGCTGCATCAATTTTCGATATCATTGAACAATTTTTATCAACAAAACAACAAAAGCCGGATGATATTATTAAATGGTGCCTGAATAATGAAACCAATCCGATTATGTTAGGCATTCTAGCTAATTGTTTTTACTTCGGAAAGTGGGCAATGCTAGATGAAATTCGAGCATTTGATCTTTACCTGAAATCCATAGAAGCAAGTCATTCTGAAAAACAAGCTGAAGCCATATATACCGCTATAGAT